TATTCTCTTTAGAGGAGAAAGTCTGGATACGTTATCCTTAGCAGCCCATTTCAGTCAGCTGATAAGTTTGCGACACCGTACGGATCTATGTGACTGATTATCATCCGATTTGTTAGCATTGTGCGAGGTCCGACCCAGTGAATCTTCTTTATACAAATATGCGTATACACAGAAATAAATTCATATCCGTTCATCTAACAGATATATGTACATTTATCTCTATGTATATGATAGATAAGCATGTCTAGACAAACAGATATACGTCTATTTCAGTCATGTGATGTGAGCGCAAACATTATTTTTGAAGAATTCCATTTCTGAGATTGAACGTCTGTCGGTGAGTGCAACAGCTGAGGATGTCCACCAACACCCGCCGTGCGATGTGATAACCCATTCCCCTTCGTAGGGGATGACGGAGGTAATCGTGGAAGACACAAAGACATACACATACACATGCTCTCAAACACACGCATACGCAAAAACGCACATGAAAGCAAACACACACACACACAGTAAACGTGGCCTGTGAGCGATAGTGTGTAGATAAATCGAGTCTGGCAGGATGCAGTAACCTTGAATACCAGTGAAGGATCATATAACATATAACATATAACTTATAACAGTTCATTGACGAGAGAGAGATATACAGCTGACGGACAGACTCAGAATACCCCAGTCTGACTAGTAACACGGCTTTTGTTGTAATAAAGTATAACAACAGTCAAAATATTGGAATTGTGGCAGTCATAAAGTGGGATTTATATATTTTACCAGTCATTTACTCAGGGCAGGAATAAAATGCAATATACTTAACAATCTTTATTTCTAAAAATAGCACATCATTAATCCTCTTATTACATTATATTGAACGACCGTTTCACAGATTTTTTAGAAAAATTTTCAAGAAAATGTTTTAGAACATTTCATTTTTAGAACACTTTTTTAGACATTTCTTTTTAGATTTTTTTCTTTCTTTTTTACGATCGTTTCACACACAAAAAAGATTATGTTTCCACTTACCCATTTCAGAGTCAAGACGCGATTATTTTATTCCTTGGTTTACGGATTTTATTTCCGAAAGAAAAACTGACAGGCGATCGCATTTTTTTCTTTTCTTTTTCTTTTAATTTCTGGAACCATGCGACAGGCGATTAAAGAATAAATGAAATACCGATGACAAAACTCCATTACGTGTGGAATACGAATCGTTCCTGTGCCCAGCGACAGGCATGATCTCCTTTGGCAGAAACGGTGACATGTTGTGCTCGACGGCAAATGCCATCGACTGTGGTTTCCGTAGGTATAACAGACAAGAAAAACAGAACATCGCAATCAAATCGTATCGGATGAGGTGCGGCGGGATGAGAAGTCGATTTCTCAACTATTTTTATTTTCGAAAATCGGGAAAAACGTGCGGCAGATCCGTAAGCCAGGAAGTTAAGCCACTGATAATGCCGTTCGAGTGGCAAATTATGTAATTATATCTCTGGAATTTCTTCACGGGGAATGAAATCAATAATGACACGATCACGCTGCACGGCATACTCTATTCCGTGATTCCTCAACATTGCCACAATGAAGGTGATGGCGATGCAAGTGACAAGTACGATTATTTCCATCATGTTGAGGGTACTTGCTGCCGTAATCTTAGCCGTCGGTAAATCAGTAAGGATACGATCGGGCATTACGGATAACTGCATTCCGTGATTCGTCAACATTGCCACAATGCAGGTGATGGCGATGCAAATAATGACTACAACAGTTGTTCCGTTGGTGTTCATGGTCCTTTCTGCGATATTCATCCTTGGCCGAACATCAATAAGGATACGGTCATACATTACGGTTATCTTTATTCTGCGATTGCACAACAGTGCCACAATACAGGCGATAGTGATGCAAATAACTACAATTGCTCCGTTGGTGTTCATGGTCCTTTCTGCGATATTCGGTAAATCAGTAAGGATACGATCGGTGATTACGGATAACTGCATTCCGTGATTCGCCAACATTGTCACCAAAGAGATGATAGCGTTGCAGGTAATAACGATTGTTTCGTTAATATCCATGCTCCTTTCTGCGATATCCATACCAGGCTGAATGTCAATAAGGATACGATCATGCTTTACGGTAAACTGCATTCCGTGATTGCTCAACATTGCCACAATGCAGGTGATGCCGATGCAGATAATAAGGACGATTATTTCGTTGATATCCAAGGGCCTTTCTCTAATAGTCGTGTCAGTCGGTAAATCAATAAGCATAGGATCGGGTATTACGGTAAACTGTATTCCGTGATTCGTCAACATAGCGATGGCGACGCAAGTCATAACAACGATTGTTTCCTTAATGTCCATGCTCCTTTCTGCGATATTCATACCAGGCCGAATGTCAATAAGGATACGGTCATGCATTACGGTAAACTGTATTCTGCGATTGCACGACAATGCCACAATACAGGCGATAGTGATGCAAAAAATAACTACGTTTGTTTCGTTGATATCCATGGCAATTTCTTTAATAATCGTACTAGTCGGTAAATCTATAAGGATATGACCATGCTTTATGGAAAACTGTATTCTGTGATTCCTCATTATTTTCATTGTACAGATGGTAGTGATGCAAATAACTCCGATTGTTTCGTTGATGTCCATGGTCTCTGTGGAGAGAAATGAGAGAAGCATTAGACTTACAATGCAATAAATCGCAAACTGACGATAATATTCACACCTTTTTATATAATGCTTGATAATGAATATTCATCTTATCTGAAAAATATGTCATAATTATTTATTCGACACTTAAAAAGGTGCGCTGGTTCTGATTTCAAAGATGCACATTCATCACTGAAACATTTTACATATTTTTATAAATCCTGGCCATCCTCCACGTAACAGAGAGGAGAAATGGTGGAAAATGAGGCGAGAACAGCACGCCATAATGCTTTGTTGCCAGGGGAATATGATAGTTATTTATCTATTTTAATAGCCAATGGATACAGTAACGGAAGTAGTCGCAGGTGACAATTCCGGTAGTATCAATGAGTAGTATGAGAAGGAAATTAGTTATTAAAGTGAAGTTGTAAGAGAGGGAAATTGTTAAGACAAAAGGAAGCGAAATGATTGGCATTTGTCCCGCGAAAAATCGTGGAAAGAATGGGGATTGACTGGGAGTAATGGTCTCGATTTCGTCTCGCATATATTTTATTTTGTTTATTAATATAATTTGATTTCTAATTAACAGGAAAAGGGAGGATATATAGAATTTAGATATGAATTGAATCATCATTGCTTGCCACAACTAATTTTGTTACCTTTCTAGCTAGGATGACCCCTGCGGGCTCCCGGTCTACATCTCCCCAGCAAATTGCCCAGTCGATACCAAAGATTGGCCAAATTGTGGAGAAGACTTACTCGGCTGCCTCAAAGACCAAGACGTGAAATCAGTACATTGCTACACCTCTTCTCCTTGAGGTCATCGAAAGAAACCGATCAACATTGCCAAAATTACTTTCCGTACACATGACCTTCCCTTCCTGTTCGACCATATGAACCTTCTTTCCCGTCAATGTCAAAACTGTTGGCGATTTGGAAACCTTGCCAAACACTGCCGCTCCACAGATCGATGCCCCCTACGTGCCCAACCCGGTCATAACCGATCAAACTGCCCTGCATAAACACGCATATGTGCTAATAGCGGCGGCCCCCACAAAGTATTTTATAGAGGTTGTCCCACTTACAAGCAACTCTCAAATACAAAAATGGTCTCACTCTACGTGATGCCAGACAGGATGCACACCAACAAGGTTTCTCATATACTCCCTACTCTAGTAATGTCACTCACTCTGCCCCTCCACCTCCACCTCAAGATGTTCCTACACTCTCCTCTATTCCTACATACTTCCACACTTCCACTTCTACATTCTACCACCCCCAGTCAAATTCTTTTGCCACTCTAAATCCAGACGCCCCAATCTCAACCACAGCTCCAATCTCAACTACTGCCCTAACACCATCCCCTCTCCCTCCCAGCACTACCCGCAGTAGACAGACTAAACGTTCCACCCCTTCTTCCCCTACTGCACACTCACCTCCACCTACCTTTACCTTTATTTCTCAGACACCAGTCTCCTACACAGATGCGTTTGTGTGGGGAGTGCAGTGATACACAAGTACAGGAAATGAAAGGGAGATAAGGGCAAAGGTCGACCAAGAGAATGACACTGAGAAAGGATTGCCATAGTAACAAGCTGTAGAGGTCCATCCATGTATATAAGTGGCGTATCAGTGCTGCGTCCGCTCACTCCGTCAGTGTCAGTGAAAAAAATATCGTTGGGTTGATGGAACGTTCTCTTTACAGGTTGATGGAACGTTCTCTTTGATGGAACGTTCTGGAACATGGGGTTGATGGAATGTCACACATCAGTGGCGTATCAGTGCCGTGTCCGCTCAGTCCGTCTCAGTGATAAAATATCGTTACTTTGCATTCGGCCGACGCATTCGCACGTGTCCGGCGCAGAATCGTGCTTTCACTCTGTGTCAGTTCCGTCTCCGTGCAGTGATTTTCAATGTCGTCAACGATATTTTTTAGAGAGAACGTTCCATCAACCCCGTGAACAAGCTTCGACATGTTCGCGGCACGGACAGGGAACTGACACTGAGAGTGAAAGCACGGTTCTGCGCCGGACGTGCGAATGCGTCGCCCGAATTCAAAGTAACAATATTTTTTTCACTTACACTGACGGACTGAGCGGACGCGGCACTGATACGCCACTGATGTGTGGCGTTCCATCAACCCTACAAGAGAACGTTCCATCAACCCTATAAGAGAGCTTTCCACCAATGCTTGCGCCTATATCTATATCTTTCTACCTATATTATTGCCATGTCGAATTAAAAGGGGGAGGAGGATTCCTTAGTGTGAAGGAGGGGAGAGAAGCGTCTGAGAGCGATTTGGCTGAAAACCTCACCAGTCTCTCACCCAAACCTTCCTGGCCAGAAGTCTACTGAAATATCCGCAAATATTTAATAATCTGCCCTCTGGTTACCTTCATATGCAGCACTTGACTCTCATGGACACCAGTGTAAACGAACAAACAAAATGTTTACTGTTTTTGTCTTTTTACTTACAATTTCAAACCAGCTTTGCGTGATGCGTGTGTTCTTCCCAAAATCCTTACTCCCAATGGGGCACCGAGGCACCGGTCACGTGACTACACCATCAAGTGAACGTTCGACTGGACAAATGGTTCGGAGCTCCGTTGAATAGCCCTAAACTTTCGCACCTGTAGAACGTAAAAGATTTTTGTACACGGAAATCTGTTTGTTGAGATATATGTGCTACATGTTAAATGGATGTGATTATATGTAGATAGTTTTCACGTGACGTCACCAGTAAGGCGTCCGCCATTTTGAAGGCAGTGGAGGCTTGAAGCTGTTGTGTCAATTCCTTCCATTTGCTTCTCTTATTTCTGTGGATTTATTAATCGACTATGGTGAATGTCGTGTCTGTGGATGTCATAGCCGGCAAAATCGAGTCTCATTTGGAATTTTATTAGCCGAAAATAATTCGAAATCAAGAAGAAAAGACAAGAACTGAGTGAGGAAAGGCGACGTGTGTGTCTTTCTCGCCTGAATCAGAATCTCGAAGGAAAGACTTGGACAACATCAGGATGTGATCAGCTCTTTTTTTTTCTTTTCAAACATTCTCTTTAGAGGAGAAAGTCTGGATACGTTATCCTTAGCAGCCCATTTCAGTCAGCTGATAAGTTTGCGACACCGTACGGATCTATGTGACTGATTATCATCCGATTTGTTAGCATTGTGCGAGGTCCGACCCAGTGAATCTTCTTTATACAAATATGCGTATACACAGAAATAAATTCATATCCGTTCATCTAACAGATATATGTACATTTATCTCTATGTATATGATAGATAAGCATGTCTAGACAAACAGATATACGTCTATTTCAGTCATGTGATGTGAGCGCAAACACTATTTTTGAAGAATTCCATTTCTGAGATTGAACGTCTGTCGGTGAGTGCAACAGCTGAGGATGTCCACCAACACCCGCCGTGCGATGTGATGACTCATTCCCCTTCGTAGGGGATGACTGAGGTAATCGTGGAAGACACAAAGACATACACATACACATGCTCTCAAACACACGCGTACGCAAAAACGCACATGAAAGAAACATACACACACAGTAAACGTGGCCTGTGAGCGATAGTGTGTAGATAAATCGAGTCTGGCAGGATGCAGTAACCTTGAATACCAGTAAAGGATCATATAACATATAACTTATAACAGTTCATTGACGAGAGAGAGAGATATACAGCTGACGGACAGAGACTCAGAATACCACAGGCTTAACGTTAACCCTCACCCAGAACCTCTTGTGAGCCCCAGCCCCACGTCACTCTCCCCGGCTAATGCGACTACTAAACCCGAACCTGACGTTATACGAGTTGTGCGGCGCTGCAAGCACACGACCTGCTGACGCAAGCGAGCTCATCATACCTCCTTAGTCGGCCGGGCGTCAACTGTCAACAAGCGAAATAACGGAAGGGAGAACGCCAAGAAAAAAACACAGTTCCCCCTCCACCAACTACACAGAATGCGAGTGGAGTGTTGCAAGTACCACCACGTGTTCGGGGCTCCCCAGTCTGACTAGTAACACGGCTTTTGTTGTAATAAAGCATAACAACAGTCAAAATATTGGAATTGTGGCAGTCACAAAGTGGGATTCATATATTTTACCAGTCATTTACTCAGGGCAGGAATAAAATGCAATATACTTAACAATCTTTATTTCTAAAAATAGCACATCATTAATCCTCTTATTACATTATACTGAACGACCGTTTCACAGATTTTTTAGAAAATTTTTCAAGAAAATGTTTTAGAACATTTCATTTTTAGAACACTTTTAGAACTTTCTTTTTAGATTTTTTTTTTCTTTTTTTACGATCGTTTCACACACAAAAAAGATTATGTTTCCACTTACCCATTTCAGCGTCAAGACGCGATTATTTTATTCCTTGGTTTACGGATTTTATTTCCGAAAGAAAAACTGACAGGCGATCGCATTTTTTTCTTTTCTTTTTCTTTTAATTTCTGGAACCATGCGACAGGCGATTAAAATAATATGAAATACCGATGACAAAACTCCATTACGTGTGGAATACGAATCGTTCCTGTGCCCAGCGACAGGCATGATCTCCTTTGGCAGAAACGGTGACATATTGTGCTCGACGGCAAATGCCATCGACTGTGGTTTCCGTAGGTATAACAGACAAGAAAAACAGAACATCGCAATCAAATCGTATCGGATGAGGTGCGGCGGGATGAGAAGTCGATTTCTCAACTATTTTTATTTCGATATATCGGAAAACACGNTATATATATATATATAAGGAAAAGACCCTAATTGATCACACCAGAATGCAAGGGGCGTTGCGCTGGAGCCAGAGCGCCCCTTTGAGAAGAGCTTGGCGTGGGCGGCGAGGGCGGAGTGGGAGAACCTGTTGGGGTTCTAGACCAAAGAGGGATCGGTTCCTCTTCCTCGTTCGTGAGGTCAGTGCCAGTGACCTCGCTCGATGCCGGGAAGTCGGGCAACCGGTTCGGGAATGAAGTGCAAATGCCAGAAGTGGATATTTGCGGATTCTGAGCGGAGGAGGATGGAGGGTGAGGGCGTGACCAGGAAGGTGACTGGGGGGGGGGGGCAGTGTAGGCGGACTGGGATGGGATTTCGTTGTTGTTTTGTTATTTGCGTTGTTTTTGTTCACCGGATTGTTTGGAATTATTCGGGCTAGATTTCCGGTATTATGATAATGATGGTGATCATGTAATGGTAATAAAAGTAACAGTGGTAACAGTGATGGTGAGGATAACGATGATGATGATAATGAAAATGATAGAGTGATGGTAGTATTAGGTTTAGTAACAGCAATAAATGTAGTACGGTAAAAATGGTAATGATGATAATAAGAAGAAAATAATGAAGATGAATATTTTTTATTGCGTCAGTAACCCTATTGCCCTGATGTGGAGGTATGCGCTCTTTCTGTTATTACGAACATATTTACTAATGTAAGCAATATTATTAGTGGTAATTATTGTTTTTGCGGTCACTGGTATTATTATCATTATTGATGTTATTATTTATGTTATGATTTTTTCTTATTCGTCAAATCATTTTAAGCATGACGAATTGTTTTTTTTTTATTATTTTGTAATAAACGACACAATCGGGAAATATATCATAAATGTTAAGATAACTGAAATATAGCTTTTATCTTTTACCGAAATAGTAGCCTTCATCATACGCCTCCCACGTAATCATTTTCCCGCGGTATAGATGGCGTTGTCCAAAGCCATTTACGCGAGGCGATCCTTCTCTTCGCGATGCCTCATGACAGTAAGGTCCCGGCTGAGGCTGTGTGCTGGCCGAGGTACATTCGCGGTACGTTTTAAAGCACGGGAGCAAGAGGCCTCGAACCGTAGGGCTCACGGACCCTGTTTTCAAGGCGAAGGGACATTTCACGAAGACGGAGTTAGAAGAATTGGGCAAGGTGTCGGTCGACGTATGAAGGCGGAGTTAAGGGAATAGCGAATAGTGGTTAATTATCGGTCGGAAATAGTGAATGATTTCGGTCGTGCCATCCTCGGTTTTGAAATCA